TTTTGTTTTTGTGTTTTCTTTTCCTTTTATTTATTCTTTCCTGCTTTATTGTAGTTGCATTCTATTTTAGTAAAACATACACTTAGTATCTAAATTAGTATTACAACCTAGTCCATAGTCAGAAAAAGCCTAGACCCCAAATAACTTAGTTTGATATTTTATTAATTATAAAAGTTATTCAAATAATCATTTTTACTACTATTTTATTCATCTCATAGTATTTAAACATTTTATACATGTGTGGTGTTTCCCCCATAATTATCTATGCAATATTTGGTTCACTCTGAACATTTTAGTTTTAATATTTGAAAACTTTTATTGTTTGCCTATTTTTGAATTTGAATTTGAATCATTTTCGAACTAACTCGAGATTAGCAACTATAAACGAGGTGACGTGGCATGATTAGCAGAGGATCACTGTAGCTTAATTACCCGGGCGTCACAACATAGCTTCCATTCTATGTTTCACATAGTTCACTCGGTATGAACATAATCATTTACATATAGTTGAGGAAAATATCCATAAAATAGTTTGCTTAACTTCTGGGATGCAGTTTATCTCTGCGCCAATTGGCACGACATGTCATCTATTTTACATAAGAGACGAGCATGGGCGATGCAGATACAAACATCCATCAAGCAATTCACCTAAATTTTGGTTGTATTATTTGCTTCTCTTCTTGGTCTGTTCAAATAGTTCACTTGACTTCCATTCAAGTTTCATATAGTTTGCTTAACTTGCAGATTGGAGTAGGTCTTTGTGCCAATTGGCACAACGGGTGTAGTATAGGAAATATCATCATACATGATTGCCTATAGGGCATATCTCCAACACATGCTACCTCCCGCTAGATGTGACAACGATGGCACATGTATCCCAATGATGCAGCGGCCACGGGTTTCAACCTCCATTTCAAAAAAAGTGTATGTTCCAAGATAGTGATTTGATTGAATGCCTCAATATAATTTTTGTAAGCCTAATTGTTCTATGGTATATTTTCATTAAATAAATAAAATATGTACAAACATTAATGAAGCTCTGAAAAGAGGTCCGTGGAATTCTTCAGACAAATCCTAGAGTTCATAATTCTTGCAAGAGATGGTTTGTTGTTTACAAAAAAAAGGAGCTCTGGAATTCCTGGTCCTATTACCATATCAGGTATTATTCATTATGGAGATTCAAAATGTCTGGGAAATGATTGCCATTACTGGTTGGTACTTGTGGTGGGAAAGACGTAAGTTGGTCCATGAGGAGAAAATTCAGAGTGCTATCAAGATATCTATGGGGATGCGTGCGCTTACGGCTAATTTTGTCATTGCTTCTTCTTCGAATGTTCTCAGAAAAAAGGGGATTGGGCCAGGCCCCAGGGTGGTTTCGTCATACTAAATGTGGATGTTTCGTTTGACCAGGACAGGTTTAGGGGCACTGTTGGGCCGGTCCTGAGGGGGCGGGGGGGTTGGTCGGCTGTTGTGCAGATGTCTTAATGATTGAAGTTTTGGCTTTCAGATTTGGGCTTTCTCTAGCAAAAACGGCTGGACGCAACCGTCTCATGATTAGCTCTGATAACTTGGGGGTCATTAACACTATAAAGAATGGAGAACAATCTTCGGGTGCAGCGACGGCGGTTTTTGACAATTGTTATCATTTTGCTTAGGAAAAAGTCCAAAATAAACCTTGAAGTTGTAGACGAAAGCTAAATCAAACCCTGAACTTTGAATCCTGGAAATTGGCACTCTGAACTTATAATCCCGGTCTATTTTGGACCCTAGACCTGTTTGGCACGCTGGGAAGACTACAATCCTGGCCGGGATTCCAGCTACTCTCACGGACTAGAATTTGGGCCGGCCCACTATAACACAACAAGAATTCGTGAGGTTTAAAAAATGTTCACACATTTCTAAAATTGTTCAAAAGTTAAAAATGTTTCTATTTTCTATTTTTTGCACAAATTCAATTCGTTTTGTGTTTTTAAAAACTAGTTGGAATTTTGTGTTTCGCACAAAATCAACTCTATTAGCATTTTTAAAAAATGTTCTCGATTTCAAAAAAATCACATTTATCAAAAAATGTTCAGAATTCCAATACTTTTTCACATGCTATGAAAAATATTTCGTATTTTCAAAATTGTGTCACATTTTTAATACTATTTTTGGAATTTCGTAAATTATTTCATAAATAATGTATTTAAAAAATGTTTCGGATTGTTGGCAGTGGACTCGACTGGGCCAGCCCACCAGACATGAAGCGAGTTTTTTTCCTTAACAAGTGACGTAAAAAATTCTTTCTTTCTTTTTCTTAACGGATGACATAATGATTCCAAAACAAAAAAACATGTTGTGGAGTCGAACTTGGGAACTGGTAGCCACTACACCACACGACTATGACTGACATAGCAGAGGCCCGAAATATTTAATTAGAAACCAAAGCGCCGAACATTGTAAAGATTTTTTAGGGGCAAACAATTATTGAAAACGTATTTATTAATGAAATCTTTGAACATTTTATAAAGTGCAAGAACTTTTTGAAATTTCGAATACTTCTAAAAAACAAACAACTTTGAAAAAGCGAACACCTTCATAAACATTTTTTGAAACCTGAACAAAATTTAAAGTGCAAACGCTCTTTGAAACATAATATTTTTCTGCAACCTGAACAAAATATTAAAGTGCGGACACGTTTTGATTCATAAACATTTTCTGAAACCTGAAAATATTTTGTGCCATCCAGAAAATATCACAAGTTTTAAAAAAATGTATGTGCCAATCCAAATGATTATACATTGTATAATAATATTTGTGTGATTCAAAAAATGTTTTATACATTAAAAAATGTAACATTTCAAGAATGATCATGAGTTCCAAAAAATGTCTCCGTGACTTTTTTAAAAGAATGTGTTTACAATGTAAAAAAATATTTGCGTGATGTAAAAAATGTGTCAAAACCTTAACAGAATATATGTGGCATGTCCTTGAAAAAAGTGTATGCAAATTTAAAAATGTTGAACCACGTAAAAGAGTGTTGTGTAGTTTTATAAAATGTTTATCATCATTAAGAAAATGTAAAACATGTAGTTGAAAAAATATTACCATGTATTCAAAAAGTTTTGAAAACATGTATTTTATAAATGTGCATAATATATTTGAAAATATCAAAAGTTTATCCAAAAATATTTAATGTGTGTGTTAAAAATGTACATTGTGTACTGAGAAAAATTAGACCTGTGTAAAAATGAAAAAAGAAATGAAAACACAAAAGGAAAAACTAAGAAAAAACCAGATTAGTGCACGCGCGCGAGAGCAATTGCGCTATTGGGCCGGCCCAATTCAGCAAATCCCGGCCATGTTCTGTCAAGGTTTAAAATAGACCAGGATTAGAGAGTTTGGTGTGCTGATTTCAAGGATTGAGAGTTCGGGGTTTGATTTAGCTTTCGCCTATAAATTGAAGGTTTGTTTTGGACTTTTTCCTTTTGCTTATGATTTCCCTATTTTTAGGTTCGAGCATCAGCTTGCAAATCGCTCTTATATTATGGAATGGAAGGAGTACTAATAATGTCGCTCATGGGATCACTAGGCTAGCTAGATTCCAGTTCGCCTGTTGATTGGTTCGAGGAGCCATTAGATGAACCCGCAAAAACAAAAAACAACAAAAAAAAACCTTTCTCAGCTTGCACTTGAAACGCCAACCAGCTTTTGCAGCCTCAACGTAGTGGAACAGACAATACCCATTGGCCACCATGTGGCCTTATCGTGAAGCTGATGAACGAAACTTCCACAAGATAAACTCTAGTAAGTAGCAGCTTTTGAATCATTCCCGGGTAAAATACTATACGGGACATATTACACCGAAAAAGAAAATTATGGGCTTAGCTGTTCTCTTTTGGGAAAGGAAATGAATCGCTTTGGGAAAAGAAACATAGAGCTAAAGAGAGTCTTAGCTAATACGGTCAGTGTTAAAGGGGCGAGGGGGCGTCTGAGCTGTCAGTCCACAAAGCCCTGAAAAGTTCAGTACTCCGTGTGACAGTACTTGCTTTTTTTCTTTCGTTCTTTTTAAGGGAGACAATACTTTTTTTTTTTGAAATGGTCACCGGAGGGTAAGACTCCCCACATGAATATGTTTCAAACGTACCACAAGTTTAGAGTTGTTACAAATGGTGTGAAGAGAGGAACTCCCGCCACAGACCGGCGTGTCCTCTTATTGTCTCATTTTTGAGACGATGAGACCAGATAATTAAGTCACTAATCAACGATGAACGACGGCGGCCGGAGTCGGCGAAGGACGACCATGACGACGATTTCAGGACGAATTCGACCAATTCCTTGCGCAGGGAAGGAGATCTCAAAGTGGTGGAGCTCATGGACAAGGTGATTTGTTGTGGGGAGGTCGACGGTGACGCATGAGAATTGGGAGGAGGCGGCGGGGGCGGGGGCGAGAGCTCTGGTGCGTGATCTGTTGCTCTTTTATTTATTTTTTTAGCGAAACATGAACGGGTGCGAGTGTTTTGATGGGCTAGGTCAGAAACAAGAGCCTGGGCTGGGCTGGGCCTCGTCTGTATAATTCAGAAAATGCAAAAAATAAAAATTAGTTCGGTCCAACCGAGCGGACCGAGTCAAAACAGGACCGGACCGGACCTCTCTTCGGGCCTCTTTTTACAGACCGGACCGACTGTTTTCTTCTATCGGTCCTCCAATTTCGGTTTGGTTCGGGCCAGTTACGTCCAGGCTGATCTGCAACTGCAATAGAGGTTAAACGATTACGAAGACCAAGTTCAATTCCATCCTTAGGACGGAGGGAGACAATACTTACTGGTTGAAGTCTAATCCCTCTGACTTTTATACTAAATTAGCGACACTTATTTGAAAGAGATGGCATAAACTTTATACTAAATCAGCGGCACTTATTTTAAGACGGAGGGAATAGTATATAAGCAGGAGAAGGGCGAAGAGTACGGTGCGGACAAACGTGAGGACGAGGGGAAAAGAAAACCAGCCGGTCGTCAGTGATGGTTGGCGGGACGACTCTGGAGGACACTCCGACATGGATCGTCGCATCGGTGTGCTCCGTCATCGTCCTCATCTCCATCATCTTCGAGCGCTCCCTGCATTATCTCGGCAAGGTGATCATGTCAACAACCTTACAGCCAGATTCCTTCGATCTTGTCGCAAAATTTTGTTCCCCAGTGCCACTGATTCACGAGTGGGTGGAGTGCAGGCGCTGGTTCACCGGAGGGAGACGCTGTACGAGGCGTTGCTCAAGCTCAAAGAAGGTCAGCCGTCTCCCCGTCTATTGGCCTTCGTTCACTCATGTTGCTTGCTTGTTACTGACGCGTGGTTTTGCTTGCGTGCGCATGGCGGCAGAACTGATGCTGCTGGGGTTCATCTCGCTGATGCTCGTGGTGTCGCAAGACCTGATACAGAAGATCTGCATCGACGAGAGCCTCATGGGGCACTGGTTGCCCTGCGTCCCGGGCGCCAGCTCCACGACGGCGCATTACGGCGTCTCTGCCTCCTCCTCCGCCTCCGGCGTGAGCGTGGGCGCGAGGAGGCTGCTCAAGGGAGAGCGTGCAGCAGCAACGGGTTACTGCTCGAGCAAACAGGTTTGAAAATGTCATTGTACTTGCGTCGACATCATAGTGGCCGGTTTGGACATGTGTCAGAGTCGGCGCATCGTAGGTTTAAAAACTGCGTTAGACAAGTCGACTTTGTTCGGAAACAAGGTTTAGTCTGATCGAGGTCTTGATACCCTGCACTTTCTATTTTTATCGGCAGAACCAACGTGGTAATGGTAAAACTAGGAGACGCTGTCAGCGAAACTTTTATTTTATAAAAGCAGTATACTTGCTTAGTGTACTTACTGTAACGCATCGTTGCATCTGCCTACTTGCAGATTTTAGTAGTAGCTTTGTGCCCATCTTGTATACGTGTGTTTCAGGGAAAAGTGCCGTTGCTCTCGCTGCACGCCCTGGAACAGATACATATCTTCATCTTCGTCCTAGCTGTCACGCATGTCGCTCTCAGCGCCTTCACCGTGCTCCTGGGGCTTCTACAGGTAACTCCTAAACTACTGCTGGTCCGTGCTTAGCATTTCTGAACTTCCAACGTTGACCCGACAGTAAACCGTGCGCAGATGCGGAAATGGAAGCAGTGGGAGAAGAGTATCAAGTCCGACGGCGACTGTGGTAGGGCAATGGCGACGCTTAACTCTTGAATGAATGAAAGGATTACTTTAGCCGGAAGAAAATGATTACGGAAGATGGGCTAATTAGTCGAGGTGTGCTTGCTTGCTTACCAACAGCTGCAGGTCCTGAGATGATGATGAAGATGCAGCAGCGCAAGTTCATCCAGGACCGGTACAAGGGGTACGGCAAAGCCACCATGATCCTACTGTGGATGGTATGCAATCAGCAGCAAACTTGATTGAGTTTTCTATTACTATACTTGCTGTATCTGTGAAGTCTGAAGTCTGAACTTGGGGTAACCCACGGTAATATTCCCTTCCAGCGTTCTTTCTTCAAGCAGTTCTACGGATCGGTAACCAAGGACGATTACATCGCGATGAGGCTTGGTTTCCTGATGGTACGTGTGGATTCGGTCTTGTTGTTTCTGATTTCTGGTTGGTTTTGCACCACTACTACGTATTATATTTCTGGTTGACGTACAGGAGCACTTCAGGGGGAACCGAGACTACAATTTCTACGACTACATGATCAAGGCCCTCGAGAAGGATTACAAGAGAGTCGTTGGGATAAAGTAAGTTCCTTCTTCTTTTTCGAACCTCACCAATACTCCCTCCGTAAACTAATATAAAAGTGTTTAGATCACTATTAGTATTTATAGTACTCACTCCATAAACTAATATAAGAGCGTGCTAACTTGAGTTTGTTCATTGTAGATGGTACTATTGGATATTTGTAATGTTCTTCCTGCTAATTAACGTCACCGGTATGCTTCATTTCTCTTAGTACTTCGGTATACTTGTCCATGACTGTCTGCATGCGTAACAAAGTTGACAATGACGACTGAAAACTCGTGATGCAGGGTGGCACTCATACTTCTGGATCTCACTTGTCCCGTTGACTGTAAGTGCCCCCCATCTGATCTGATCTGATCCACGAGTCACGAGCCTAATTGCTTTACTGTTGTCATCATTCAAACGTGTGCTTTGGTGTGCATGCATGCATGCAGCTGCTGCTTGTAATCGGGACGAAGCTGGAGCACATCATAACCCGGATGGCGTACCAGGTGAACCTGAAGCGCGCGGCCGTGGAGGCCGGGGCCATCGCCGTCGACCCGTCGGACGACCTCTTCTGGTTCCGCAGTCCCCGGACGCTGCTCATCCTCATCCACTTCATCCTCTTCCAGAACGCCTACGAGTTCGCCTACTTGTTCTGGACGCTAGTAAGCGTGCACGTGCACACAGGAATAAACACATCGCATCGTCCCATCACATGTTGAAATTCTGAGCTCCTCTTGTGGGTGCAGGCCATGTTCGGCTTCAACTCCTGCATCATGGACAGGTTCGGATACAGCGTGTCAAGAATCACCATATGGTACGTAGCTGCTCTCCCCTCTTGGATCGATCGAAGCACACATGTTTGTCTGTCAGATGATAGATTTTTTTCGATAAAGGGTGAATTTTAAGATGATAGATGCATAGCTGACCGCTTGGTTTGATCCTCGTCAGCGTGGTCGTCCAGGTCCTGTGCAGCTACAGCACGCTCCCCCTCTACGCCATCGTCTCTCATGTGAGTGCAGTAGTCAGGAACCAGACATGATTCTCAACCTTGACTAACAGAGCCTTGACAAATCGATAAATCCATTGATGCAGATGGGGAGCTCGTTCAAGAGCGCCGTATTCGCGGACGACGTTGTAGAGCATCTCAGGGCCTGGGCCAGCGACGCTCGGGAGCGCGCACGAGGAACCGACGGCGCTGGCTGCCTGGGCGCGGGCGCGGCGGCGACAGGGTCGAGTAGGGAAGGGGTCCGATCGCAGGACAAGGCAGAGGAGCCAGCTCCTCAACTTTCATCATAGTGTAGTTAGCATTTTTTATTTTTATTTCTTAAAACAGAGGCATAAGATTTACCTCATTCATTAATTAAAAAAAAGAGTTTGGAGTATTACAGACGGCACGGTTACAACAGATTATGTTCACTCTCTCAAAATGATTTCCCCAAAGTGTTTTGCACCCGCGATAGACTAAAGTGTGGATTCCTCAAAATGAAAAATTGAGCGGTTCCGACATGTGCCGGTAGATCTGAAGCCGCTCATTGCAATCTGAAGATTAGTGCAGCACTGTGCAGTATAAAAAGCAAAGCATTTTGCTTCGGCAATATATAGCTATACAACCTGCAAACAGTGTATACGGGTCCCGCCAATGTCTGCTTTTGGTCAAATAACACAGGGTTTTACATGCATGTGTTGCCCATTCTCTCTCTTCTCTCTCTCAAACTAATGCATCCATTTATTTCACCTTTGCTAAGTTAAAGTCATTCATATCTCTTAAACCAAACTTTCAATTTAAAAAAATTATATGTTTGAACTCATGTCGCAAGAACTTTAAGACAAGACCGATTTTGCATAAATTTTAAATGAGTTTAAAATTCATGAAACACATTTCACATATGTCACCTGCTTGAAATCTTATGAACAAAATGATTTCAATCAGTTTCACAAGTTCAAATTTCAGTATTATTTTTTTTCATTTTCAGAACTTACATTTCACTTTTCACTTGCTTGCTTCAGATAAATCATATCTACTTCAATTGCACATTCTTGGAAGATCATATTTAATTATTTTAAAATAAACCATTTCACATTTGTAAACGGTCGCTTTCACAAGTTGACATTTCAGTTCATATTGTTTTTTCACTTTCAGCACCTACATTTCACTTTTCACTAGCTTGTTTCATAAAAATCACATATATTACAATTGCATTTTTTTAAATAACATGTTTTACACTCTTGAAATAAATTGTTACACATTTTGAAATAAACCGGTTTAACAAGTTGACTTTTCACTTCAGATTGTTTTACTTGCAGAACCAACATTTCACTTTGCACTGGCTTGTTTCACAAAAAACAAACATATATTTCAATTGCACATGTTTGAAATAACATGTTTCACTCTGTTGAAATAAACTGGAACACATTTGGAAATAATCAGTTTCACAAGTTAACATTTGAGTTTCATATTATCTTTCACTTTCAGAACCTACATTTCACTTTCCACTGACTTGTTTAATAAAAACACATATATTTCTATTGCACATTTTTTAAATAAGATGATGTCTCACTTTTTTGAAATAAACTGTTACACATTTCAAAAATAAAATCAGTTTCACAAGTTGACATTTCAGTTCATATTGTTTTTCACTTTCAGAACCTACATTTCACTTTGCACTAGCTTCTTTCACAAAAGATGCATCTATTTCAATTTCACATAATTGAAAAAGCATATTTCGCTCTTTTGAAGTAAACCGTTACACATTTCATAATTTTCAAATTCACAAGTTGAGATTTTAGTTTCACATTTTTTTCACTTCCAGTAGATGGATTTTACTTTTCACTGGCTTGTCACAAAAATCACATCTATTTCAATTGCACACTTTTGAAATTGCATATTTTACTCTTTTGAAATAAAATGTTACACACTTCCAAATAATTAGTTTCACAAGTTGATATTTGAGTTGCATATTTGGGTTAAATAGGTTTATGTGAAAAATGTTATTTTCACATATTTCTAGTGAAATAGGTTTGTTTCAGATTTTTCTAGTGAAATGGGTTTATTTCTCATATGAAATGTGAAACGTCAAAAATTAAATGTGTTTGTAATGTATCCAAAATTGGTCTAGTTTTAAAGATCTTGACGCCAGGAGTCCAAATATATAAAAAGTTTCAAAACGAGTCTATAGTTTGAAAGATATTATTGATTTAAATTGTCTAAGAGGAAATAAAGTTTATGGATATATTCTGCAGGTAGAGTGAAAAGAGAGACCTGCATGCGTTTCCCTAACAAAAGTTATACTTTATGGTCCATTATGTTGTCACTGATTTGACTAAAAAGAAAGATACAAGAAATATACTAATGTTGTACATTTAGATGGGCCATACGGTCTCACGAATCTCAGAAAAAAATGAATGGCCTCAGATCGGTACGTGACCGAACCGCACAAAACGACTTTGCGGTGGATTCCTTCTTGATGCTAGCAAGAAGCATACGTGGGGGTGCCGAGTTATGACAAAAACTCCGCACATTACGTTTGTTCCAGATCGTCCAACATGATATTGCACGGTGAAAGAAGTTATGGCCTTCTTCCCCGCAGAAAAAAAAAGAAGTCAATTGATGGAGCCCATGTCCCGCGTGTAACACTATGTAGCACTAGGCCATGACCCATGTAGCAGTATGGGCATATTGCGCTGGCAAAGTTTTTTCTCGAGTTAAATACACTACATGTGCTCTAATTTGTCTTGCACGGTCAGTTTGATGCCTAAACTTGAAAAATACACAAAAATAGTGATGTACCTTGTCTGGGCGTTCAAATACGATGCCTCTGAACGTATGCCGTTGTATCGAGTGCCCGCGTGGCATGCCAGCCTGTCGCTGGGCCACATGTTAGTGGTTGCTGGCACTGGACACGCGCTGTGAGCTATGTATTGTTTCTTATAGGAATGCCTCTGGATTTTTAATTAATTCTCGCAAGAAAATACCCCTTGATTTTAATTAATACTCGCAAAAAATACCTGAAAGCCAGAACATGGGACATCCACGTCGCCTGACAATCGAGCGGACCAGGCAGTCACGGTCTGGTTTGCGCTTAATTATCAGCAAGCAGTTTATATAGATGATTGTATATATCGCTCTGCATATGCTTTTACTAGAGTAATTTTCTTTTTATTTATTCCAAGTTACTATCTTGTCTTTCTTCGAGTGAAGTTTATGTTTAGTTTTAATGATACATAAATTTTTCCATATGAAAAAATAAAATAAGTATCAATATGATTTTTTATTTTATATCTCTATTCTTTTTCCATTATTGTGTACTTTGAAGAGATAAACATGAACTTTTCTAAAATTGATGTTGAATTAAAGAGTTGAACGTATATTAAAAACACGGTGAGCATTTCTTGAAAGACACTTTCACGTTCATGTTCATTTTTCATTTACATATTATTTTAGAAAATGTTCACCGTGTTTTTTGAAAATGTTGAATGTGTATTAAAAAGATATTGTGTAATATTATTCTTAAATTTCTACAAACACGCTTAGCATGTTAGTACATTTCTGGAATTTATTATTGTCACACAATAATATTTAATACACGTTGAACAGTTTTTAAAATACAATATTGTCAATTTTAAATAATTGTGCATTTTAAAAATGGAATGAAGATACACAATAATTGTTCATGCTTATGGTCCTCAATGAAGATGCATAAATTTACACAGTAATTTTTAATATACATTCAACTTTTTATGTCCACATAAATTTTAGAAAAAAAAATCATGTCTATCTCTTCAAGGTACACAATAATGAAAATATAATAAAGATATAAAATAAAAAATTATTGCATATTGACAATATTTTTCATATGGAAAAATTTATGTGTCATGAAAACTAAACAGAAACTTCACTCAAAAACATGTGCAAAGTGATACGTGGAATCGTGCATATAAGTTGCTAGCTAGCAGTTAAATGTAAACCAAAGTGCGAATCAACCTGTGGTTGAGTTGGTTAGGTGGACAATGGTATCTCCAACCCACCAGGGTTCAAATCCTGGTGCTCGCATTATTCCTGGATTTATTTCAGGATTTCCGGCGATGCGCTTTCAGTGGGAGGAGACGTTCCCATCGACAACGAGGCGCCTACGGTGACTTCGTAAATCTCAAGATGATATGCCGGCTCAGTCTCTCGGAGGTGCTCATAGGGGTAGGGTGTGTGTGTGTGCATTCATAGGGATGAGTGTATGCGCGTGTATATGAGCGCTTGTGTCTGTACTGATGCTCAAAAAAAAATGTAAACCAAAGTGTGGCCTCTTGGTCTGCTTGTTTGTTAGGCAACCGGGATGCCCGTGGTTTGAATTCCCTTCATGCCAGCTTGTGTTTATATTTTTGTGAGAATTAATTAAAGTACAAGCGCGTTCCCATAAAAAGACAGCATGCGTCCAGTGCGCGTAATGTTTTTCCCCCCGAGAATTAACTAAAGTTCAAGGGCACTTCTGTAAGAGAAATTACACGCACAGCTCACAGCTCACAACTCGCCCGCAGCCACTGACATGTGGCCTCGCTGGTATGCCACACGGACACTTGATACGGTGGCATGCATTCAGAGGCACCGTATTTGAACGCCTAGACAAGTTACGGCATTATTTTTGTGTATTTTTCAAGTTTATGCACCAAATTGACTGTGTCGGACAAGTTAGGGCACATGCAGTGTATTTAACTCTTTTTTCTCAGTAGCTTTTTCAGCTGCTTTTTTATTTGGGTTGATTTTTCTATTAAAAAACTTTCCGTTTTTTCCAAACAATTTAGGTTTTTGAGCTTTTAAAAATATTCATGAATTTGAGCTTTTAAGCATTTGTGTTTATGAAAGCATTGTTTACAAATTTATATTACATTCTTAAATTTTAAAAAATATTCATGAATTTGAAAAAAAATTATGAATTGAAGAAAGAAAGTAAATAGGAAAATGAAAAAAAAATAAAACTGGTAGAAAGAAAAAGGAAAAATCTGAATGGAACCTTCCCAAAACCGGAAGGGTCTTCCTACATGATCAACCCAATAGCGGGTCCACATTCATTGGACTGCTTCCGCAATATGTGCGGAATATGAATTGCCATAATTACCCTTTGAAGAGAAATAGAATTAATTCCATATATAAAGAATGGTGTGCCAAAGTGTGCGTTACCTCTAGTGTGATCGATGAGCAGATACCCAGACGGGATGAGCAACATATCCTCATGACACACATGTCGCACACTTACCTTGCTCCCCTTCGCGTAATATTGTCGGTAAGCGGAACACGGAGCAGCACG